AAATGGAGGAATTTTGGTCAATATTGATAATTAAATAATATTTTACTAAATGTGCTTTTGTGCTGAAACCTTGACTGGTTTAGGCCTATCATGGATAAATAATGATGACAATAAAACCACCAGTAGGTGGCAGCAAGCCCTTGTTTTGATAAATTATTTATTGAATCGTTCAAATCAAACGACTCGTTCAAAACGGCTGATTCAATTAGAAACATAACAAGCCTGCGTCCCAATGTGCATAATATCCATCCTAAATTCTATGTGATATTAGTCATTTTCAATACTATTTAGGGCAGACAGGCTGGATAGTGTATGCACATTGGGACGCAGGGAAAGTGTCCATCTGAATGGGCCGTTGAATCACTGGCTCACTTGATTCGTTCAAAAACTGATTCATTCAAGGAACGAAACACCGTGTTATGCACTGTTGTATAAAATTAATACCACATTTGTGCTCACGCATGTAGGCCTACTGATATTCAGAAAAGTACTTTTTGTCATTTTTTTCAACCAGGGGGATGCCATCCCCCCGCATCCCCCCTCAATTCGAGCAAAGCTGATGTCTGAGAATCAGTCAGAAGCATGGTGGGTTTAAGGAAGATGAAAGTAGCAGCATTGATACTGCAAGAAAATGATCTTCAGCTAGAATTGAGAGAATTTGCCTGCATGTAAATGAGTTTGTCCTCAGGCTAGAGTTTTGAATGCAAGGTGAATCTCTCTGTGTTTCCTCAGAGGGGGAACTATATCCATTTATTGATCTATTGCCTTATCTACATGCTTAAAAGCATGAGGAAAATCAGACAGTGTGATTTTTCTTAAGAATAGTTTCATAGGATTTAGTGTAATAATCAGGAATGAAAAACCCAGTGAACCCAGCAGACTGAGTGGAGAGAAAAAGCCCAGATGAAGTTGTAATTATCGCCCAATAAGTGTCAGCATAGAAATATAAATTAATACTAAGACCTCAATACATCAAAAGGAAAATGAACAAGTGAAATGAACTGTAAAAACCTGTTGACACCAGAAGAGAAACAAAGCTAAAAAGCATTCACGTGATTGAGAAAGAGAGAGTGATTATATTTCACATGATTGAGGAAATGTTTAATTCACCTCTTATTCCTCAATTTATTGTTCATTATACCTTATTGTTGATTTAAAGTCATCTGCAAATTATAATTTTGACATTTTGATTTTTGATTTTTTTTTTTTTTAAGTGTAGGTCTGTCTGGAAGCTTTTTTTGTTACTCAAAATAAAACACAAATTTCTTAAGATATATTGTTTTTATGTTCCACACAAGAAATAAATTGATGGCTTTCTATATATCTCAGGAGTCACTTCAAGAGGAGATCACTTTGCACAAAAGAAGATATTTTGAAGAATGTTAGTTAACCAAACAGATTTGTTTTCCATTGACTTCCATTGTATGAACAACAAAAACACATTTATCAAAATGTCTTCATTTATGTTCCTCACAAGAAAGAAAAGCAGGGCATTCTGTATTTCTGAGAAGGAGTCGCTTTAAGAAGAGCTTACTTTTCTTCCAGTAATCTTCTCTACCTTTAGTGTTTTCAGTGGTTCACTTGCATGAGGTGGCACACAGACTGAAACGCATGTGCCTCTTTCTGTTTCCGCTGCTTGCGCTGTGGTGGATGAGGTCAGTGGAGTCCCTGCTGTATACCCATGACTCACTGACCTTTCCCTAACTGAAGGAGCTCATTGCGTTCATCCGTAAAGGAAGGTTATTTCCATGTTTGAGTGTTTGCATATGGGACTGGAGAAGTCCAGACCCCTTACCCAGCTTACATTTATCAGGTATATGGTGTAATTTCGAATCGAAAATCGAGCAGCTGAGTCCTTAACCATCTTCAAGAAATTACTAAAAACACATCTGTTCCACCTTTATTTGACCCTCTAACTCTAACACTTTCTATTCTATTTTAATTCTACTTTATCTATATTTATCTTCTTTTTTGTTTTTTATAAAACAACAAAAAACAAACAAACACTAGCTTTCTATTTTTTCTATTCTATCTACTTGTTTTTCTTTGTGTATGTGTGTGTATATGTGTGTGTGTGACTAAATGTAAATGTAATTTCTGCAACACTTGTGGCACCAAACAAAAAAAAAAACACAAAAAAAAATTGCCATTACATCTGCTACTAAGTCTGCCATTGTCGATCAAGTCCTACCAAGACTCAGATCGTTGGTTGACCCAGAAGTTGACATGTTGGGTTGGTACAGGTCAGAAAAACTATAATTTTTACGTAAAATTCTGTTACACTGAATGTCCTTTGTTACTCTCAATGACAGTTTGCCAAAAAGGGAGAGAATATTGGTGTTTTCAATGGTTTTAGTATTATTTTATACGTGTCATTAAATTAGTTTCAATAATATTCCCGAGTGAATGACAACAAAAGCAGATGTTGAAAAATAATAAGCTTTTTATTCTACTGTTCTGATGTCTCCTGCCATGCTTGCTTATTTTGTCACTTTGCTTCTGATGTGCTTGGCCCCAATAATTACATCTTTGCATCTATATTTATGAATACCTTCTGTTTGCCAACATAAGTTACGTTATCATTAGGGGTGTGCGATATTGACAAAAAATAATATAATAATAATATATCTTGATATTTTCTGGGATTTTATCGATGACGATAATTAGACGATATTTTGGTGAGTGTTATTGTGCTGGTACCTTAAGGACTGCTGTAGACAGCTGACTCCTAAGGTTTTTGTGCGATCTTCCTCTGTCGCATGATGACGTTTGCGCAGGCGCATACTCACATGTAAGCTGATGCCACTGTTTGTTTACAACAGAGGGAGAGCAATTTCATATTTCTCAATTTCTGAGAATTAATATACATTTGAACTCAAAACTCATTTTAAACCACCATCAAGTGTCTGAAACGTGCTATTTTATAGCCTTTTATAAGCTAAATACCTCAAATCAATGTAGTGATTTTTTTCTGGGACATTTCCTTCGAAAATGAAATTTAACCACAGTGTCCTCAGCGGCTCAGATGGAGGGAGTCTATGAAGACTCCTATGTTCGTTGGTGCATCCCAAAACACAACACTTGTAATGCCCCTTTGGCGCTGACATTGTATAGCTCCAGCAGCTACAGAAAGAAAACAGTACTGCTGCTTTTCACTCAGGGCTGTGTCTATGCTAATAGGGCAGGGAGCGTCATACAAATGGGCAGGATTTCTCCCTACGATGACATCAAGGTAGGAAGAAATCTGGAATCGCGTGTTGAGAGAGACTGTTTATGATTTATTGGGATTATAAAAAAATTAGTGGGTGGATTTTTATTATACATTTTTTTAAAAATAATATTTTATTATATGCTGGTTGTTTTCAACCACTGCGGCCACACAACTGTGTTCAAACACCTTATAAAAGTGATTTTTGCATAATACGTCACCATTAAAATAACAGAAAACTACTGTAAAATTTTTGCATTATTTTCCTTAAAGATAAAACTTTTTTATTTAAATGAACTGTAGGTCCAGAGTGAATAGAGTGCCATGTACTTTGTTTTGGTAATTTATTATACAACTATACTTTAATTTTAATTTCATCACAAGCTTTAAACTCTGGAGTTTTTATTTTGGATAAAACTGCAGGGAAACTTTTATGTTTAAAGCTTGCAAACACTGCTCATTACAAATCTAATGAAATGCTTTAAAGTTCTGTTCGTAAAAATGTTAGAATTATATGAATATGCAAATGTGAACCTAGTGCATGTTGCGTTCCCAAATGCATGGTAAATTCACAGCACAAAAAGATGCAGAGGTCACAGCATTAATGTGAACCGAGCTTCTCTGAGATGCTGAATATCCTGGATCATGAGCTGCTTGCATGCAAAAGAACACAAACACAGTGCTTGTACTGAGGCCTATCAATATCCAAGTTCATCCGTTGCTCTTTTGTGGTTCTTTTTCTGCTTTTATAAAGGTTGTTATGAATAATTGCTTTTCATTTCAGCACATTTCAGAGTCATTTAAATTCTCTTTCTTTTCCCCCTGTTTGTTCCTCTAGATGAAAACAGTGAGTGTGGCTCTAGTTTTATGTCTCAATGTTGGCGTGGACCCTCCTGATGTAGTCAAGACTTCACCCTGCGCCAGACTAGAGTGCTGGATAGGTGAGTTCATCCATCCATCCACCAATCCATCCAGAAGTTTTGTAATTTCCTTCATTTACATGTTCAGAGATGATCTGAAATTGAAATGTATCAGACATTCTTTATTGAATAAATCTAAGTGATTTTTGCATAATACGTCACCATTAAAATAACAGAAAACTACTGTAAAATTTTTGCATTATTTTCCTTAAAGATAAAACTTTTTTATTTAAATGAACTGTAGGTCCAGAGTGAATAGAGTGCCATGTACTTTGTTTTGGTAATTTATTACACAGTGACAAGAAATATAGTGACACAGTAAAACCTGATATTTCTCCTCACTTTGGTTGGCCTGAAGTTTTTATGCTGTGGTTTATATTTACTCTTGATCTGTAGCTGACTCGTCTTGCTCTGTGCTATCACCAACAGAATGCTGATCAGCAGCACCTTGACAGCAGCTGTCTGTCATATGCCTCTCCCATCCTTTCTTATGGTCATGATGAAATGATTTCATCTCTCTTACTTTTTACCCTGTTAAGGTGTTGGGTTCATCCTTCATATTGAGAGTTTATGCACCCTCTGCTTTTTCTTTTCATGGACCATCAATCCTTCTCTTTCTTGCACCACTGAGAAGACTGTGTGTGTGTGTGTGTGTGTGTGTGTGTGTATATATATGAGGTCACAGCATTAATGTGAACCGAGCTTCTCTGAGATGCTGAATATCCTGGATCATGAGCTGCTTGCATGCAAAAGAACACAAACACAGTGCTTGTACTGAGGCCTATCAATATCCAAGTTCATCCGTTGCTCTTTTGTGGTTCTTTTTCTGCTTTTATAAAGGTTGTTATGAATAATTGCTTTTCATTTCAGCACATTTCAGAGTCATTTAAATTCTCTTTCTTTTCCCCCTGTTTGTTCCTCTAGATGAAAACAGTGAGTGTGGCTCTAGTTTTATGTCTCAATGTTGGCGTGGACCCTCCTGATGTAGTCAAGACTTCACCCTGCGCCAGACTAGAGTGCTGGATAGGTGAGTTCATCCATCCATCCACCAATCCATCCAGAAGTTTTGTAATTTCCTTCATTTACATGTTCAGAGATGATCTGAAATTGAAATGTATCAGACATTCTTTATTGAATAAATCTGTTGCAGTTATGTGCTATGGTAAGGTGGAAAAAATATTGTTTCATGTACATGATTTTGTGTAATAAGGAAGAAAATACTCTACATATATCTGAAAAAATCTGAAGCAAGCAATGTGTTGGAAGTATGGTGATGAATAAATGTTTACATAGCAGTCGGCATTGATTTCTGTTTAAGTCAGATTGATTTAATAAACATTGGCTTTCCTTTATGATTTCAGCTATAAGCCAATTAAATGAACCCTTGCCTTAGAGGAAACATGATCAACATCACTGTTTTGTATTTCAGTAGTTATGATGTGTATGCAGTGCAGGAACATATTTAAAAATCCATACGGATTTGATTTTGTGTGTGTGTGTTTGTGCCAGGTTTTATTCTAGGATGCCTTTTGTACTTCTGGAAGGTTCTGAAAGGTTTAGATAATTTATATCATCTGGCATTCTCTGTAAAATAATTTTTGTATTAGTGTATTTTGTATTACTCTGTCATAATATATAACAATACAATAATAGTGTAATAATTTGTATTTTCTCTGCCTTTCTCTATCTTCTAGACCCTCTGTCCATGAGTCCACAGAAAGCCCTGGAGACGATAGGGGCCAATCTACAGAAACAGTATGAAAACTGGCAGCCTAGGGTAAGAGCTGTCCTCCCTGCTGTTACCTCATGTAACACAAACACATTTTCACTAGAGGTGAAATGAGTTCTGTAAAAGAAAAAGGCACTTTGATATGCATGTTTGCACCATGGTCTTGCCACTGGTGTATCAGATTCAAAGAAAAATATAAAGCATCAAATAATTAGGACATATTGTGGTGTCCTTGAGTTTGGTGAGTAACTAAAGGAATGTTAATTATTTAGCTAATAAATTAATGGTTTTATCATTTGCTCATTTTGGGGTGAAACTGTCATTAATAGTAGTAAGTGGAAAAGCTGGCACACAGGCAAAATAAACTGAAATTTTGCAATAACAAACTATATTAAAGGAATAGTTCACCCAGAAATGAAAGTTTTGTCAATTGACCCTTTGTAGGGAGCTTGATTGACAGGCGATCTGACCAATCATAATGCCGAATCCGCCATTTTGTCTGCCAAACAAACCAGACAGGAGAGTAGATTAATATGGGGGGACTTAAACTTGAAAAATGGTTTATATTGATGTCTGTCTGCAGTTTAAATAAAATACCTTATGATGTTCATTCGTGTTTATTTCATGATTTAAGTATAAATGAAAAGATGATCGGGTCACATGCCACTTGAACTGAGGCCCTACAACGATCTGTCACGACACATTAAAGAGTCACAAAACAGTATTTATTGTTTGAATTTCTTAAATTACAAAATTTGAAAGCTGAGACTGTTTCATACAAGAATTCCAAACCAGTATGACTTTATATCATGACACAAAAGAAGAAATTATGACAAATATTTGTAACCAGTTTTGGTTTCCATGAAAAGGTTTACATGTTTTGCACAGAGGCAGCAAATGCATTTACACAGGAATTGCACTTGCAGAAATGTTTTAAACTATAAATTTTTTTTAACTATAAAAATTATTTATAGTTATCAAACAGGAAATGATGAATGAAAAGAGCATTCTAAATAATAAATAAGAAATCATAACATCTCTTTCATAACAAACAACGTTTGTAGGGGTTATGCATTGAGAAATCAAATTTTCCCTGAAAGTTATTGTAATTAGCTGAAAGCTGGTTAAAATATTTATAATTAATTGTGATTGATTCTAAATATTTGTGTCAGCAGTACACTAACTTATATAGCAGAATTCATGTTATGGTTAGCTAACCTGTGAGCATGAGAATGATAGAGTCAGCTGAGCACTACCTAAGCGAATCTTCAGTTTTTTAAGATAGCTTATATTAAAACCTCTATTCAGTGACGTTTTAAATGTTTGATACTTGCGTTGTCTTAGACGTTGAATGAGCATCCATATGCAGTTTTGACTGAAATCTTGATGTGTTTTTATGGAATGAGAGAGATTCTGTAGTGAGAGAGGTAGTGGTGAAGTTCAGGGGCGTTCATGCACTCATTATTTTTGAGGGGGCACAAGTTGGGGGGTGGGTTTGTCATGTGACACACAGCAGCAACAATAGCACTTGTGTTTTATTTATTTTTTCCTTTTTATTCGAAACATTCCCAAACGCATTAACTGAATTATCATGAAATATCTTGATTCTCACCTTTAGAGTATGTTGATCTATAGTGGGCGATGGTCAAAGTAACTTAATAATGTAATCTATTAACTATGCATAAAAACCTGTCTGTTTACTTAATTAACAGATATGGGTGTCATGCCATAACATATTTTTAATACTACTGAGTTTATATTTAATGTGAATTTAACATTGAAAGTTAATGTGAATAAAAACATTGCAAGTTAGGCTACTAATCATAACACTTTCATTGTACAAAAAGAGAGCAAAGAACATTTACATTATCAAAGAACATTTTCACTGACAGTCTAGTTCAAGCACTCTCAAATCTTCAAAATCCACTTGGCTCAAAAATCTGAGGGGGCACGTGCCCCCTCACTTTGAATGGGTATGACGCCTCTGGTGAAGTTGCATCAGATTCTTTCTGAGGTGAAGCAAAGAATGACGTGCTACGATAATGGATGGTTTTCTTCCTGACTCAGAGAGCTGACTGTGGTGTGATAGGATTGCTCACTAAAGGTCTGGCCTCAGACAGTGGTCTTTAACGTTTACAAAAGTCACATCTTGTGAAGGTGGATTGACTGATGCAATGGGTTCATTTTGAGCATGAGAATTTCCTTTTTTCTTTTACATTATTAAATTTGTGTGCAATTAAACTCTTAATTATTGTAACAGGAGAATGCAAGTCATGGGTAAAATGTATTCATATCAAGTTACAGACATATTCAATTCAATTCAAGTTTATTTGTATAGCGCTTTTCACGATACAAATCGTTGCAAAGCAACTTTACAGCAAATTAGGTTTCTACAATATTTAGTAGTCGCTTATCAGTGGTGACTGTCAATTAATGTACATATGGCAGAAATGTATGGAAAAATCAATTAAAGACGTAATAAATAGCAGAGGACCTAGGACAGATCCTTGTGGCACTCCATATTTTACTGGTGATAATTGAGATGACTCCCCATTTAAATGAACAAAGTGGTAGCGATCGGACAAGTAGGATTTAAACCATCTTAAAGCCTGCCCTTGAATACCTGTATAGTTTTGTAATCGATCTATGAGTATGTCATCATCTATAGTGTCGAACGCAGCACTAAGATCAAGTAAAACTAGCAATGAGATGCAGCCTTGGTCTGACGCAAAAAGCAAGTCATTTGTAATTTTAACAAGTGCAGTTTCTGTGCTGTGGTGGGGCCTGAAACTTGACTGAAATTCTTCATATAGATCCTTTTTTGCAGGAAGGAGCACAATTGCGCAGACACAATTTTTTCAAAACTTTTAGACATAAAAGGAAGATTTGAAATAGGTCTGTAATTTGCCAGTTCACTAGGATCTAGTTGTGGTTTCTTAATAAGAGGCTTAATAACCGCCAGCTTGAATGGTTTTGGGACGTGACCTAAAGACAACGACGAGTTAATAATATTGAGAAGCGGTTCTTCTGCTACAGGTAACAACTCTTTCAGTAATTTAGTGGGTACAGGATCTAACAGGCATCTTGTTGGTTTAGATGCAGTGATAAGTTTATTTAGCTCTTCCTGTCCTATAATTGTAAAGCACTGCAGTTTATCTTTTGGTGCGATGAATGAAGCTGAAGTATTATACGCTCTAGAATCTACATTTGTTATTGTATTTATGATGTTATCTATTTTATCAGTGAAGAAATTCATAAACTCATTACTATTAAACTGTGAGGGAATATTTAGATCGGGTGGCGTCTGGTTATTTGTTAATCTAGCCACTGTGCTAAATAAAAACCTTGGATTGTTTTGGTTATTTTCTATGAGTTTGTGGATATGCTCGGCCCTGGCAGCTTTTAGAGCCTGTCTATAGCTGGACATACTGTTTTTCCACGCAATTCTAAAAACTTCCAAGTTAGTTTTTCTCCATTTGCGCTCAAGACTACAAGTTTTTTTCTTGAGAGAATGGGTATTACTGTTGTACCATTACGATAGGGGATATATTCACACGTTATAGAAACGAAAATTATGGTGTATAAAATTGATTTTAAGATAAAAAATAGACGATAAAGAATTAACTTGACGGAGCTCAAACTCAAAACACACGGCAGCAACAAAGAGGAAGTGACGTAAAAGTAAACTTTAATTGTGTGGAAGTAGTCTATTGAACCTGAAAATAAAGCACTGTTTGTTTTATTTGTATATTATGTGTAGTTGTAATGTGTATTAGGGCTGCACGATAAATCGCATGCGATATTTAATTGATACAAAAACACAGACACTGATACAAAAATTGACAATTGAGATTCGGCATGACCCAAGGAATCCATAGATGCCAAGATTATGATTGAACTATTCAAAAGTTATAAGCAAAAAGAGCCCTTTTTCATGCCTCACGACTCATAAATGGCGCTGTACCCAACTTTGGCATGGACCCTCATATCACGCAGTTGATGAAATGTACCAAGTTTCATTTTGACTGATCAAAGTTTGGTCGAGATACAGCCTTTGAACCAATTTCAAGTCGACCTCATTTAAGTTCACAGCATCATCACTTTTTTTTTTTGACCTGTAGGTCATAAAATTCTGTTCAGTCATTTCTATGCAGCTCAGTCCAAAGATTATCTCTGCCAAGTTTTGGAAGAATTAGACAAAATTTGAAGAAGTAGTGAAAAAACGAAAAACTGTACTTTTCAAAATGGCCACTACTGTAATGGGTGCAGACTTAATATAATAAGTTAAGATATTCAATGTGATCAGCATGAGGAGAGTAATCAGGTGTACTATGTTTCATTTTTCTAGAATTAGGGGTTCAAGAGTTATTACCATTTCAATGTTGAATTTTTGAACTGGTGGTGTTGCTATAGAGTTGGTCCTAGAGACCCCTAAGTTGGTCAGATCACTATTCATGGCCATCACTACAAGTGTGCCAAATTTCATAATTTTCCTATGTTCCGTTCATAGGGCTCCCATTGGACAAGAAGAAGAATCAGTACAATAGGGGCTCTATTTTAAAAACTACACTTTTTGCCCGGAAGACCTATGGTTTTCATATTGTCATGTGACCACAACAATATCGAGACAGTTCTTCTATCACAATATTGAAAATATTGTTACATCTCTTAATATACAGTATCTCACAGAAGTGAGTACACCCCTCACATATTTGTAAATATTTTATTATATCTTTTCATGTGACAACACTGAAGAAATGACACTTTGTAGGGCTGTCAGTATATTGCGTTAACTTCATTAATTAGTTATGAAAAAATCTTTTCTCGTCATCTTACATTTCATATAGTGTTTGTTATACTGTTGACAAATATGATGCAGGGCAACAACTCCATAAATGCAGTTCTGCACTAAAATTCTAAAAACTAAGATATTGGAGCAAAAATGCTCCTGTATGAGTTTTTGTCTCATATTGATATCATATGATAAGCGATATTACACCAGCAGCGAGAGCAATATCACACAGTGCTGTTTGTCCCGAATGCAAATG